CAATAATCAATTACTGTGGAAGAGTCAACAAAAGAACGATAAGTCATATAGAGGTTTTAAACCATTCAATTTTATTCAGTGAATCACTGGGCAGAAAACAGAGCGATTTACAGTAAGTAACTGACCATACAGACATATGTTTACACAACTTGGGATGAAAAAGGATATTTGGGGAATTTAAACCCCACTTTACAAGAACACTTGAGTGGAAAATACTTTCCAAATATAGCTTGTTTTTTTTTTAGAACATTTTTCAAAAATGAAAGTAAATTTACTAAGCTAATCAGAAAGACAAACCTCTAGGTTAAAAAAAAATTAATAATTTCAAGATGGAAATGAAAAAAAAACCCAACAAGCACCTTTTAAAATACGTCATAAAACTTGAATGTGTCGTTGTTCTGTGGGAATCTTCTTCTGCAAAAGATCACTTTAAAACGAATGATATACACCATATCAAAAGGGAAGAAAGCAATTCCCAGGTTAATCAGAAAATCTATTTTTAACCTCATCTCTGTAACTATAGCGAAATGTTTCACATACTCTTAAATAGTGCTTGTCCACGTGCTTTTTTTTTAGGGATACAAACAACATACATTCTTAACACAACAGATTTACAAAGTCTCTATCTAGGGCAACCATATACATAGATATATCTTACATATTCAATATCTTAATCACGTGCTGTACAACTTTATCCAAAAACCACACACACATTGAATGAACAAAACCAAAGACGTTAAACACTACTGCTGGATATGTGGTGAAGTTTCTATCAAAGCAGTCCAAGTGTTTCGAAGTTGAAAACGAATAAATTAAGAAGTTAAAACAATAATAATTGCTGTTTGTACACCTTAAATCTATCTCTACAAGCTTCCTCTCGATACCAGAAACCTTTCATGAACATATTCTAATCTTTCCAATGGCCAATACTCTCGAGTTACTAAGAAAAATCAACTTGGTTCATAAGTTTTATGTCTTCTGAGTAGTTCTTTTTGACAAACTAGAAAGTTACGCCGAGGTTAGTGATATATAAATAAAGAATAATTACGTAAAAACACCACTAACGGCTTGATGACGCCATCGGTAGTGCCATCTGTTGACCTTTAAAAAACATGCAAAAAAGTATAAAAACAATTGTGTCAAACTAAAGTGACCACCTTTGGTTTTTAAAAATGTAAACTGCTAAATATATTTTATTTGTGGCTTTCAAAGTAGATTGATGCCTCATGTAAGTTGTGTAATATGTCCCACTGAAATAATTTAATAAAGTTGGAGAAATACCAACATGGGCAACTGTATATAAGATTGTCATTGTGAATTCGGAATTTTAAGTACCATACATACTATGGTTGAACCTGTGACATATCGTTTCTAAGAGATTCGTAGGTAGATAGGAAAATTAGGGGGGGTCAGCGGTAAGTTTACGGATTTACAACGCTAAAATCCGGGATTCGATTGCCCAATGTGGCTTTGCTCTAAAACAGACAAACATAAAAAAAAAAAAAATAGTGATACGGAATTTTCTCTGGAATTCGCACGAAGACAAACATATAAAAAGTGTCTGCTATTTTTGTATATATCACGTGCCAACGCGTTTTCTCCCATGAACGTCAAGAACGCGCATATCGACTGATGAAAGAAATAGCACGTGATTTACAGGTCCATTTCTGACCAATCACGAGTTCCATATGTACGTATCCATCAAACCGGATCACGAAGACTCGTTCGATAACGTAAAATCTCTTTTCTTGCGAATATCTCTAACGTACTTAGATATTAAACCTTTATATATTGTAAACAAGCAATTAAAAAAAAAAGTTCAATAAATATTTAAAAACACACATTAAAACTTGAAATAATCCGTAAATGTAAATAATAATAAAAAAAAAAGAGTTCTGCACTCGTTTTGATTTATAATGGTTTCCCATATAGTCTGTGATACACATCGATTGAAAACATGCAAAGAAACAAACAAACAACAACAACATTACAATAACCCATCTCACTTGTTGAAACAACATCAAACGTTTCTGGTATAATGCCGCTTACTGAAACTACTACTAATAAAACATGGATATCTATATGAACAGAACAGGCAAGCTCGCCATCTTGGGAAATGGAATTGTTATAACACAGCAAGGCCTCGATTGGAAGAAGTTTAAATGCATAAGTTATTAATGGCTATTGCTTTACGAAATTATAATGATTTGGGGAAAAGTTTAAGGCATATTGATCCTAAAGATCGTGAAAAATAGACTTTTTATATGTACAATAATTTTCTGGTTGTAAACATCTCATTTCGATATTTTAAGAGTTTGGGTTAAATACCGGTTAACAACAAAACATTACATCCTAAGATTATTAAATGTACTCGAAATTCATAGACATAGATACTTCTAACACAAAAGCACAATTTTCTGAAACTATGGCTACCGCTATAAGACATTATCTAACATTACTGGTTTCGGAGAGGTATGAAATAATCGTTCAAAGAGGTCGCTCTCGTAAATGTACAAGAAAAAACGAAACACACAATAACGGGAAAATTATAAGCATCTTAAAAAGGTACGTGAGGCCTTACAAAACATCCCGGACAAAACTTGAACGTATGCATAATTAGAAACATAAAATATATTAAGTATGACGTCACACCAATTCACGAGCAACACGATATTACGTATTTAATTTAAACACGACAAGAAAGTTAATATTATTAGGTAACTTCAGGAACTAAAAATATTAAAGTGAAATTTTGTACAAAATTACAGTCACCAACACGTTTATGATCACTGAAATCAACGAGTATCAGTTAGTTAAATTAAAAATAAAATAGGTACGCTAACTTTATCTTCGTTAACAACTTCTTCCCAATGGAGCAAGTGAATTAAAAAAATATAACGTAAACGAAACCTTTTTGTATTCAATCAATAAAAAGTTTTTCTGTAACTTTCTATATTCAATTAATTAAATATATTCAACAATAATTCCTATATACTTGTAGTAAAAAACTTGGGGATTGTGAAATTAATACTCAATTTCCTTAATTAATTTTTAACTGTTCCACATATATTTAACAGATGGCAGCAGTGATCAAGTAATTAACTCTAACGTCCCCAAGTTAGGGTATTGACTATTTCTGTGATAAAAAATTTTAAGCGTGTGTTAGTCTTCCAGGGCCTTCACGAACCCCAAATATTTTGTAAACATCAGCGCCGACAGATGGCAGCACGTACACGTTTGTTCTCAAAAGCTTCAGTATTCGGCTAGTTTGTTTCAAATTGTTACAACTAGTTTAGGTGGTTAAAATGAAAGTTGTAATATTCAATGTTCATTTACTGATTAATAAAGGTTAATATTTTAAAATTAATTCTTTATGATGGGGGTCCACTCGGAACCCAGAAGAGTGACTATGGAATATTTTGACAGAAGACTAACGCAGGGTTAAAAGTTTGAACCTATAATCGAAACACAGAAGTCTTGTAAAGGCATAAAACACTGGAAGTTAAAGAACAAGTAAAACCAATAAGTTGTTAAATCTAACATTCCACTATCGTGTATATAATTAGACAAATTATAATTAACAATAAGGAACACAAAACAAAATTAGTTTCGCCTTTTGAATCACGTGACGAAACATAAATATTTCTTAGTTACTTTTTAAACCGAAAACTTCATGAAAACTTCATTAAAAAAAAAAAAAAACTCAGATAGGTGTTAAATATATTTCTCCAAATTCAT